TTGTTCCCGTAATTGAAAGAGGTATTTAATATATATGGTCCGATACCAAAGTTTATAGTTCTGGTCGAAATGTTTGATCGTAAAGGATAATATTTCTTTCTGGATAGAATAATAAAGTAGTTTGAATGTTCAGAAAAATATGTTCCACTAAATGGTTATGATGATGAAAAAAAATCCTATTTTGAAGAGGAATAAATGTCCTTCATTTATATGCAACTTTTTTAATCAATCTGTTCGGAAACATTTTTTATTGGATTGGACATCTTACTTATCAATCATTCTTTGTAATTTAGAAGAGAAATGAATTGACTTCACTTTGATACAAGTTTCATTATTCTATCTGGTCTGTAACTTTTTTTACGGCATAGAACATTTTTATAGGATCGGAGACCTTACTTATCAATCAATCTACATCATTTTGAAAGGAAATATATTGATTTCACTTTGATACAAGTTTCATTATTCTATCTGGACCAAATTTCTTCAATAGAATTGCAGGCTTGCTTATCAATCAACCGATGCTAATGTTGAAATGAAATAAACTGACATCATTTTGATACTAGTTTCATTTGTTTCTTTCCGTCTTTCACTGTTTGTGTATAATATATAATCATCACTTGATGTCGTAAAGAGATTTGAGTAATATTTCCATGTCCCTTGCAGAACCTTTGTTGGATAATAAGGTTTACAGAGAAAAGGAAACTTTTTAAATTGTGGTCACAGTTGTTCTGGTATCCTGAGTGGGGAATATGTTCAGTAATATTACCTCTTTACTTCAGTATTGATTCTTTGATTTGTATTAGATAATGTTGTTCCCACGAAGCTCTTGTGTTACCCTGTCGTCTTATCGGCATTCTCTGTTGAATGTATAAGAGATGAGTGTTATTATTAAGATTTCACCCCGTCATTTCGCCAAACAACGACAAATTTGCCGAAGAGTAAGATATGTAGGAGATTTTAAGCCATCAAATTTCGCTCACAAAGTTGAATAATATTTCTTTTCTTGCTTTTTTTATGGAGAAAACATGAGTTCAGAATATGAAGCTATTGAAATTCAGTTTCCGAAAACCACTTTGGGCCTGAAAAAAGAAGATAGCCAAAAGAAATAACTGAACTGGAATAATAATATTCAGGTCGAAAAAAATATTTTGTTTATTCGAACTTTTCGCGATATTAATAACTATCTGTTGTGCATTCTCTAAAGAAAAGTAAAAAGGTTATTTCCTTCATCTCTTTCTTGGCGAGAAGATAAAATATTTTTCCGACTTCTACTTGAAAACTGTTCTTTTAATTTAACACTTCGTTAGTTGGATAAAAAGACACACTAAGAAATTATATATATATATATATATATGTGTGTGTGTGTGTGTATTTTTTATTATAAAGAATTACATTCGAAACCACTACATCAATGGTTTTATGTTTCGATGCTCATCATAGTATCTCTTCAGGCGATGATATGCTATGATAGGCATCGAAACATGGATTCATTGATGTAGCAGTTTCCATATATTAGAATGTAATACTTTGTAATAAAAAATTATAGCTTTACTATTGTATAAGCCCTAACTTAAATTAATGTTATGAAGGTTTGAATCCATGTTTGATTCGTTCTCTTTACATATACATACATACATATATATATATATATATATATATATATATATATATATATATATATGAGATAACGGTATATATTTCTATATATCAAGAACAGTATTGGGGAAATTGTATGACAAAAATTGTATGAAAAAAAAGGTTATATGTGATGCGTTTCGTCCTTCAGGGCGCCATCGGACTAAATTTGTTATGTTGGTAGGACTACGCATGCGCTCGACCGAGAAGTGCTGGTAATTTTAGAATTTTATTTGTTATATTCATTAATTTTTATCGAGACGAATTCACTTAGAGGTTTTTTTATTTTTTTATTCCATCACTTTTGTAAGTAAGTATTCCACACTGTGATATTAGGAATGGTGAAATGTTGTAAGACCCAGCGCGTAAATTTACTGTAGATGACGTTGCGATTCAGGCATTTTCTTGATATATACTTAGTAGTGAATTATTTTCTTCTTTGATTATGGTAGCATTCATGTCAAAATTGTTATCAGTCTCGTTACGATGGGCAACAAATGCATTATTTTTCAAAATGTCTCTTTTTTGTTCATATAATCTTTTATAACGTAGATATGTATTTCTAAAGAATTAATGTATTTATTTTTAATTCGACGTTGTTATTACTTATATGACGTATAAAATAACACACACAGACACACACAAACACATACACATTCATATATATATATATATATATATATATATATATATATATATATTGAACAATAAAAAAATATTAAAAAATTAAAATCTTTAGACACACTGGGTTGTAGATTAATATTCTTTCGTTTTTTTATTATTATTTTATTTAGATTCCTCGACTAGTTTCGACAAAAATGGCCATCATCGGGAGGAGAAATATTTCTGCTTGCTGGTAGCAGTAAACTACAGAAATGAATGTTTTGCTGGAGAAAATGAACTTTTGTCTGTAGTTTTCATTTGTTTTGTTTTTATTTTTTTATCTTTTTAACATGAATCTTTTACCATTCCTTGTGTTGGTCAAACAGTCTCTTTTAAGTTGTTATTTGAGATAAGAGCTGGATAGATATATGCTGCTCTGAATTCTCTGGTCAGTTTGACAGTTTTATTGGACCTGGTGAGGGGATGTGTCTCTGTTTAGTGTTTGTGTGTGTGTTTTTTTTGGTTCTTAGGGAGTGAGTGAGTATGATATGTGTATGCGTGTGTATTGCTGTGGGTGTGTGTTATCATTTGGCTCATTAGGGAGTGAGTGAGTATGATGTGTGTAAGCGTGTGTATTGCTGTGGGTGTGTATTATCCTTTGGCTCATTAGGGAGTGAGTGAGTATGATGTGGGTGTTTATAAGTGTGAGGTCTCTACACCTCCATAAGCATGTCTGTCTTGTGTGGGTGAGAAATATGGGTAGGTTGTGATTTGTTGAGTTATATATTGGCACTATCTGTATTGTTAAATTTATGGTTTAGCCCGGCTGGATATTTTGATTTTATCCACTTATTTTCATGGGACTCTAAAATCTTTCTAATGTTATCTGCTCTGAACTTTTCTATTCTCTCAATTATAGTGAATTTGGCATGGGTTTTGAAATCGTGTTTTTCCATATATATATAAATGTCTGATACCACCGAACTTGTAGATTTAAACAGGCAAAACCGCATATTTTTGGCTTTAAAAGGTAACCTATTCTTTTTTCGGTCAACACCTTACCAGAAGAATAGTGGCAACTGTAAAATGTTAACGAGAATCACGGAGTAAATCTGGTAAGAAACAAGGTTTCACAATTACAATTCAATTTAATATTAAAAAAGGGAAAAAATAAAAGTGGGAAATGGACAAAAACAAATGTATATTTACACTCACACACACACACACACATACATACATACATATATATATATATATATATATATATATATATATATAAACTATTATTTATTTTAGAATATTATATTAGTAGATTAATATATTAATAATATCCCAAAAAAAATATTGCACTAATTTGTATTGAGCCCTCATTCAAACTAAATTTACGAACGGTGGAATTCCTTTTCATCTTACCTTGATATATATATATATATATATATATATATATATATATATATATATATATATATATATATATATATATATATATATATATTCAGTTGTATTGATATTAGTTTGTGGTCCTGGGTTTCACACTTTTGCGATCATCACGCAAACTAATATCCATATAACTGAATGTTAGCTCTATCACTGATATTGAGCACTTTCTACTCAGTACTGCGTATATAAAATATATAAATATAAATATATATATATATATATATATATATATATATATATATATATATATATATATGTGTGTGTGTAGAATATATATGTGATTTGTATATACTTGTTTCTGATATATGTGTTCTCATTTTTAAGCTTTTTAAAATACGTTTTATTACATATATTTTTTCCGCTTTAGCAGTTCATTTCATGATGTGCTATTTACAAATGGCTGTTCCCAACTATGACAATGAGAACAATATAGCCTGGGGATGTCTAAAAGAAATAAACACCCATTCTGAGAATCGGACACCGGAAAACTTACTGTTAATATATAAATAATTTTAAAAAATCCTGATTAAATAGCGTCCTATGAACTTTGTATTTTTATTTTACTTCATCTGTTTCGTTTTAAGATTAGATTTTCACAATTTATCTCAGACACTTGCGGTTGCATATAGGCATTTCAACAAAAACATTTCGCAAAAAAACCTCTTCAGTGCTGAAGCCCATTTTCATATTGGTGGATTCGTTAATAAACAGAATTGTCGCATTTGGGCTGATGAAAATCCAAGGAAGATTGTTGAAAAGCCATTGCATCCAAAAAGGCTACTGTTTGGTGTGCATTTTTTGCTAGCGGAATCTTTGGGCTGTATATATAAATTTGAACGTCCATTTTTCGATAAATTTCACATGTTGTTTGATTGTTAATCTTTCTATGGTTGAAATTGCCAAAGACTTAAGTTTTTAAATCTGAAAGAAAAAGAAAAATCATTAGTCGCTTAAACATAATTCACATTTAAAATCAGTTCAAATATTTGGAAAACACTTTATAATACATATCGCAATCACCCTCTTTTTAAAAATATATTCATTATTTAGTTTAAGAAAGATTATTTCTTTCATTCTCTTAGAGGATCATTTGTTACAGTTTATCAACCTTTTTATGTTATTTAAAGCCAAATCCTCTTTCTGGATTGAATAATTGTTTTTTTGTTCTAAGTAACTATTAAATAATGCTTGGGAAGAAGAGGTGGATTCATGCCTTTCTCAAGAGTATTTGCGCATAAAATAACGTAACGAACTCGACCTAGGCTCTCTGATTTCAGATTCCGAGCTGTTATCCATCCCACCACCCGCACATCCAAGTTTAGAACACCTGGTATTTACAAGAGGTCACCTATCTAGTTACTAATCAAGCTCGACGTTGCTTAACTTCTGTTATCGGACGAGAGCCGATGTTTCAACATGATATGGCCATAAACCTAGAGAATCAATTATTGATAATAATTAAAGTTTTGAAATCAAATCGAGAAATAAAAAACTTTAGAAAAAGGTTGAAATATTGCCTTATTTTTGCGTTTCTTTTCATTAAAATTTATTCATTTTTCCCTAATCTGCGTAACATGAATATAGAAAGAAAAAGGTTAAAAATAACATTCTCAATCGCCCCAAATAAGAACTTTTATTTTACACCCATAAACGGCTCTTGATTGTTAATGAGTAACCTTATCAATTCGACCCTTCATATTTGGAGTTTAGCATAAACCGAAAATGAAAAATATTCATTAAGAATTGATGTGATTTTCTAATTATAACGCAATATGTGTCGTATGACTTGAAGATATTATCGCTAATTTTATTTATTCCCTTGCTTTATCATATTTGCTTTTTCAAATCTTTATTATTATTATTATTATTATTATTATTATTATTATTATTCATTAGTTGTAAAGAAGAGAAAAATGAATCTGTCTGGGCTAAGACATTTTAATCAGCTCTCTTCCAGAGATAATAAACTGGCGCATGAACATTCCAAATAATGTCGGCTTACGCAAACGTGGGAGAATAACGGTAGATATTCACTGTGAATGGAGAGTAACTGCGCAGATAGACAAGTCAATCAAACGAGCAAACATTACGGATTTAGCCCTCTCCATACGTTTTATCTCGAGATATATGAATGGATTTTCGATGTTATTCATTCACACGCTTGCGATTATCTTCTTCTTCTTCTTCTTCTTCTTCTTCTTCTTCTTCTTCTTCTTCATCATCATCGTCATCTTCTTCTCCTCCTCCTTCTTCTTCTTCTTCTTCTTTATGCCATACCTCTTCAGTACGTGCTTGCTCATTGCTCTCCACATCTTCTCATCAATTAGGTGACCCGCTGTCTTCACATATCTCTCATGCCCTCAAAATACCCTGAGAGGGTTAAGTTTTCCTGATCTCTTTTTTTATTATGTTTTCAATAAATTTCTGTTGCCCTTCTCTAATTCTGGATATAAGTGCGTTTTGTTTTTTTCGTTACAATTTGTTTTAGATTTCCCTCATTGCTTACTCACTCTGCCCATTGAATTCTCAGTATCCTACTGTATAACCACATGCCCGTTGCTTTTAGTTTCCTGTTTACATATGATAAGATTTTCCAGCATTCATTGCCATAAAAGAGGTCTGATATGACAAAGCAATTCAGCACTCTTTTCTTTGTTTTTAACGAAATGGACCTGTTTTTGAAACATATTTTTCGCTTATCCGACGCGTGTTCGGATTTTTTTTTTTTTTTTTTGCCTTTTGCATATTCTGTTAAACTGATATTTAAACTTCTGTACTTGTTTGATGTTAACATCCCCAACTTTTAATTTACGTCTTGGCCTTTTGCTCTTACTGACGACCATACTTTCTGCGTCCTTAATCGCTAATCCCTTTTTCTTGCTTACCTTTATCAAATTTTCAAGGAACCCCTGTAATTTATTAGATATGTAATACTATTTGTTCTGCTTATGTTTAAGAATAATAATAAAGTAATAATAAAAATAATATTAATATCGATGATTAAGCCTATTATGGTGACTATAGGCAAAATGATAGTGAAAAATGATAGACATTATTAAAAAGATAGGCATTGTTAACTATACAATAAATAAAGATAGGCATTATTAAAAAAGATAGGCATTATTAACTTCAGTTAGTTATGTGCCTTGCGCGATATACGCTTAGGCGATCATGTATCTTTCGATACATGACTGACAAGGCAGTTTTTTTTTTCTTGCAGTACGCTGACATTACTTTCTGCGATAAACCAGTTGCTATCCAAGGCTATAGAACCCGGTTTGCTCTGCTATTTACCCACAACTGGTGGGAGAACAGGATCTATACCTTTTCCAAGGGTATTAGCATGTAAATGGATGTAATAGATTCGACTAGAATTCGAACTCGCCGCTATCCATTAACAAACACGTTTTGAATATATCTGTGCTGTACAAAATTACATTTCGAATCTTGGCGAAATGTGACAGGAATTACCAATATTTCCTTTTCCCTGTCAACAGTATGGGAGAATATGATATATAAATTTCTATATATCAGAACAAAATTGCTAAGGTGAAAGTGTATAGAAAGTGCTCTGATCGCTAGATCATCCACGGTAAATTTGCGCCCAGGTTCTTATAACATTCCATCTTACTTTATAGAGAGTTTCGATTATAAAAATGTGGGAGACTTAAGAATAAAATTGATAAAAACAAAAACAAAAGAAATAAGGAAACTGAAAAAAAATCAACTAAGCGACATACAAAAACACGTCTGAAATATTAAAATAAAAATTTAGTGTCCAACATCATCAGCGTTTTCTGTCATTGCATAATTATAACTGACGCTTCCGTTTTCATATCTCCCCTCCCTTTCCTGCACATATATAATTCCATCAACAAAAATGTTACTTTGAATTGATGATGTTGTGCTTGTAGAGGTTCAAAACGCATTACACATAATCTTTTCCTACGTTGTCATTCATTTGCTCAATAGATATTCCCTTATAACTTCGATCATCCAGTAAGCAAATATATCCGTCCTTGGTATGACGATAAACTACATCTGACAGCAAGGCATCTGATCAGGAGGTTTCGAGGCGCGTGGAACCACCTCTTAATTGCTAGTGTTCCAGGTTCACCTTGATCCCGGGTGGTAGAACTTGTTAGGGTCCCAGCTATGGGCAAATGGCTAACCCCCAAACTGGGGTCAAAACCCTATGAAAGTGTAAAAATAGGTTTTAATACCAGCAATACATTTTTGTGAAAAATTATTAGCAGCAATTTTTTGAAGAAAAAATATAACTAGAAATACATTATTACCAGCAATACTTTTTTGGAAAAAAAAATTACCAGCAATACAATTTTGAAAAGAAAATATTACCAGCAATAGATTTTTGGAAAAAAATATTAACAGAAATCTTTTTTTTTTTTAAATATTACAACCAATAAAAATCTTAGCATTAAATAACATCTGGAAGTTGACATGCCGTAAAACAAACCAGACCAAAACTAAATATATAAATACACTGTATAAACAACTGCTATGCTTACTTTTTTTGTCTGTATGGAGAGAAATGAGCGCTTCAATTGAGAAAGAAAGAAAAGAAATAACAAACAGAAAAACAGCGACGGAGGGAGGCAATCCAGACGGCAAGGTTTCGGCAAGAAACGAGCCAATAAGGACATTGGTCTTGAATAAGACGTTAAATGCTTAACATCTTTTTTCATGCTAAAGTGCGTATCATATTTCAACGTATTTACGTTAATTGATGAGAATTTCAGATACCTATTACACCAACAATATAAACATTAACTCTACAAATACATGCTATACTCGTTTTCTCTCTGTATAGGGGTAGGCTGCTCCCCAACCCCCTGTAAGATGAAATAAAATTACGAGACACTAGACAAACAGACGTCTGAAGGAATCAGGACATATACTAAGCTATAATAATCTCCTCAGTAGATCTAGCATAGATATATAAATACCATATCGTAACCAATAATTAGTGGTGAAAAAAAGAAAGAAACAGAGGAAGCCAAACTAGACAGCAATGCTTCGGCAGCAGAGGAAACGATAACAGCTTTATTCTTAAATGAGAATGTTAATCTTGAAAATCTCTTTGTCTGACGAAATTGCATCTTGAAGTTTGACGTCTTTACATCAAGTGACGTGAATTTCAATATTCTCTTCCAACTCCTTCATCCAGTAACTAACAATATGAATACACTGAGTAAAAAAAGTTATATTCAGTTTCCATCTGTATGCAGGGGAAAGCCGCTCACCAATCCATGTGTGTTTAAAATATTTTATTACAACTCTTTTGGAATCTGCATATAAAAATTCTGTGACTTCAATTACTCCGCCCTTACGTCCGTTACACCTTCTAAAATAGCCATACGCTGGCCGGTCGAAAGCAAAGTTTGTGAAGAAGTGCAAACAGGTAAGGGCGTAAAACGTACAGTTGCTTTTACTAGAGTGCGTAAAAACAGCGAAGTAGGGATTTTGTCAAAGTATTTTTCCAAACAAATCAGTCTATTCAAATGTTATCGATTAGTTTGCGAAATTGAATGAAACGTACAGTTTGTAAATTTCGACAAAAAATGTTAGCGATAACTTCAATAATAATACCGTGAGGATTTCAACACGCATCAATATATTTCTAAAAAAAATATCTAATGAAGTATAAATTCTTGAACGAGAATAACCCAAACACCTGAAGGTTTTATCGCATACACTTGTCTTTGACGCCGTCCTCAGTAGACCTAGCATTTATATAAATGGCATATAATAATAACATATAAATACTATATGTAAATACCATCTACGAGTCCTTAATTAATACAATAAAAAGAAATTTAAAAAGGCGAAGAGAGCAAAGTCTGACAATAAGGCTTAAACAACATCTTTGTAAAAGAGAAATAACAGTGTAGGGGTAACTTTACTGTTCTTTTATTTTTGTCTCTCTTTAATAGTGATTTCTTCTCATATTCTCTAACACTCAGTAGCCATTTGCGTCTTAGTGGCTTTATTGCCTTTGAACTTCACATATTTAAATACAATGTCAATCGTTATCTTCTGTCTTCTTAATTTTTATTCTTTTATTGTCCTCTCTCTTTAACAGTTACCCTTTGTGTCTTAGTGGCTTTATTGCATTGCTTGGGTACAAATGTTAAAAATATCATCTGTCAAACAGTACAATCTGAGTTTTATGTAAGACAACTTTTTTTAGTTTATGAAAAGTTACGGTTAACAAGTTGTTGACGTTTTAACCAAAGATCGTGCAGACTTTACTTAGATGACCTCACCTGGATTTTCAGTACACCGCCTTTTACCTGAAAAGCGCAGACAGCAGAGAATTACAGATGATGTCAACTCGTAGTATTCTGCTTAAGTTGTTGTACAATTCCGCATCAGTTGCGGCTGTGGTTTGCAACGTCGACTATTCCCA